TTCTTAGAAGCGAGGACAACCAGAAGCAGGCTCCCATAAGATTTTAATACAGTGTTGACACAACATCTGAGTCACATAGCATTCTATTTCACAGAACATGTCGTGGACATTAAGAGATGCATAACTACACTGTAAGGGAGAGGGGCTTGTATTATCATGGACCTTATTTCACAGGTCCCAGATTCCATATCTTGTTCATGGAATATCCACTGTCTTGTCCACCCAGAAGAGCACTCTTTTCACTCCCTTCGTTGGGAAATCTTCTTGAGTGGGAGTTGCCATATTCATTGTCCTGGTTGGTCCAGGGCTAGGCATTTGGCTTAAGCTCAACAAATCTGAACCCTTCTCTGGAATTTTAAATGTGAGACTAGGAAAAGCAGTACTCAGTTGCATTGTATGAAAAGTGTGAAGGCTGGCCACAGCCTTGTCTGCAGCCACATAAGGGAAGCCAGTCAGCAAGAAGGAAACACAGCCATAGGCAGAAGTATGTTGAGACCACCCTACCCTTAGACCAGGAAAGGAGCCCCCCATACTTGGCTCTGTGTTGAAGAGAGATCCCCTCTAGCCTACTCTGGGCAGGAGTCTGCAGGACCAAGGGGGCTTGCCCACCTTGGGCCTCCTGCCCCTTTCAGTCCCAAGAATTCCTGCTCAAATGACCATTAGCCTCTTCTAGAGTCTGTGTGGATCCCTTTCCCAGGTCTGTCCTGCTGACAGCAGACCAGGATGCAGATGTGTCTGCCCCAGGCCTAAAGGATGGCCAAGGAGGAGCTTCTGAGGAAGTGTGTTAAGGAGTCTGTTGAGTGGTGTGGATGGAACTGCACATGTAGGTTGGGGTGTCTAATACATGCGTGGGAGACCATTTGTGACTTGGAGTAAAGCTGGAGATGGAAAGAGCAGGGGAAGGTCACAGGCTCGGGGCCAGCTCCCCCTATGCTGCCAGGTCCTAAAGCAGAACTCCAAGGAGTCAGAGAATTCAAACTTCAAACCTGGCCTTCCAGGCACGGTGATTAGAGCATATCTTATTTAAGAGTTTGTAAGCTTGGTTCATGGCCCTGGGGGGTGCAAACAACTCATGTTCTTAGCTGCCAACTGGAAAGTTGGAAGTTCAAGTCCACCCTTGGAAAAAAGTTCTGGCAATCTACTTCTGAACAAAATCAGTCACTGAAAACCCTATGGAACCTGTACACCAATGCTTATTGCACCACTTTTCATAATAGCCACAATGTGGAAATAGCCTACGTGTCCATCAACAGAGGAACGGATAACCAAGCCATGGCATATACATACAATGGAATACCGCTCAGCCACAAGGAGAAATGAATTCCTGATGCATGCTACAACACGGATGAGCCCTGAGAACATGACACCGAGTGAAATAAGTCAGTCGCAAAAGGACAAATAACTGTATAATCTCACTTGCATGAAATAAGGAAATATATCTAAACCAAAAATTATTAGCAGCTACAAGGGGGAAGTAGAGGGATGTTTCCACTGATGGGGCATTGAGTTCATGTTAACGGTGGTGGCATAATTTGGAGAAGGACAGTGACAAGGGTTGCACAACATGAGAAACCTAACCAATGTTGCTGATTATACATTTAGAAATTGTTGAGTTGGTGAATGTCTTGTTATGTGTATTTTCACCAGCAAAATAAATATATAAATAAACATATCCTATGGAGTACAGTTCTTTTCAGGCACACATGGGGTCACTATGAGTCAGAATTGACTCAAGAGCAACTGGTTTTTTTCTTAAGTTTGGTGTGATGGTTAATGTTATGTGTCAATACAGCCAGGCTATGATTCTCAGTGGTTTGGCCGACACTGTGTAATCACTTTCCATGGGATGAGCTGATGGGAGCAGCCAATCAATGGAAAGGAGAGTTTCCTTGGGGGTGTGGCCTGCCTGCAGTATATAAATGGATGTTCTGGCAAAACTCGCTTGCTCTCTGTGCCCTGCATTCTTCTCACTGCCTGACCTCCAGTTCCTGGGACCTGAGCCTACAGAGGCCTCCAGGCTGCCACATCACCTGAAGATCTGGGTTCACCAACCTCACCACTTCGTGAACCTATAGAGGTCTCCAGACTACAGTCTGGCCTGTGCATTTAGGGTTCATCAGCCCCTGCAACCATATGAGCCAGCAAGCAGAGGTCTTCAGTCTGTTGCCTGACCCACAGATTTGAGATTTGCCAGCCTCTACAACTGTGAGCCATTTTCTTAAATTTATATATGTTGTTGTTGTTGTTATGTACCGTCAACTCAGCCTCACTGCCATTGAGTCAATTCCAACTCATAGTGACCCCCATTGAGTTTCCGGGCCGGTAAATCTTTATGGATGTAGATTGCCCAGTCTTCCTTCCTTGGAGTGGCAGGTGGGTTTGAACTGTCAACCTTCTGGTTAGCAGTCAAATGCCTTAGGCACTGCACCACCAGAGCTCCTTATACATATGTACGTACATATATATATGAATATATATATACACACACACACCAAAAAAGAAAAAAAAAAAAACCCACTGCCGTCAACTCTATTCCATCTCATAGCAAACCCTGTTGGATTTCTGAGGTGGTAAATCTTTACAGAAGTAGATTGCCCAGTCTTGCTTCCACAGAGTGGCTGGTGGGTTTAAACCACCAACCTTCTGGTTAACAGTCAGTTGCCTTAGGCACAGAGCTACCAGAGCTCCTTTATATATGTATGTATATGTATATGTGTACGTGTGTGTGTGTGTATATATATATACATACATACATACCCCGTTTTGCTCCTCCGGAGAACCCAGACTATGACACTTGGTCTATAACTTTCCAACACTGAGACACAGGGTCTCTATTTTCACTCCTGCCACAGGGCATCGCTTCACTCACCTGACTCCTAAGAACACTTGCAGGAGAGTGCAGATGCCAGAGACGAAGAAAAGGGTGCTGATGAGGTAGCTCTGGCCCAGGGGGTCATGCTGCAAGCACAGGTCCTTGGCCAGGATGAGTGGCACACCCACGAGTCCCCCAAGGGCTGTGAGGAAGTGCTGTGGGCAGAGCAGAGGGAGTGGAGACCATGGAGACACTGTGCCGCCGGCTGACCCTCAGGCCCACCCACCCCAGCACCCACGGGCTGTCCTCCCTGGCTGAGGCACAGCCAGGCAGGCAGCAGGAGCTAGGAGGGACAGCAGCAAGAAGCAGGGGCCCCACTGCCCTGGGCAAGAAACCAAGGGGTGACACAGCACAGGAGGATGGGACAGGAGCCCAGTGGGGATGGGACCTCAAGAACAAGGCAAAAACCCAAAGCCAATCGGTTTCTGTCGGTCATTTCTGACTCATGGTGACCCAAAGCAAGGCAAGAGGCTAGTAATTAAAACCAGGCCCATGGTGAGGGCCAGGCCACTGTCAAGGAAGACCTGAGCATAGGCTTTGAGCTATTGGCCAACAGCTATTTGAGTGTCCTGAGAGGACAAGGTCCAACCCAGAGGTCAGGACAGGGCTGAGTCCACAGCAGGCAACTCACTGTAAAGGGGCTAGAGTGGGATGGATGGATGGTGAACAGATGGATGGACAGATGGACAGATAATAGAGATAGCTAGATGGATGGCAAGATAGAGATAGCTAGCTAGATGGATGTATAGGTAGATGACAGACAGACAGAGATGGATGGATGAATAGAGACATAGCTAGATAGAGACAGAGGAGTAGCTAACTAGCTCGAGGGCTATATAGACAGGTGATAGATAGGTACATTGGTGGGTAGATATAGCTAGAGAGCTAGATGGATGTGTAGATAGATGAGAGCTCTTGACCATACTGGTCCTGCTGTTCCAGAACATTCCCTGAGCAGATCAAAGTCTCTGGAGGTGGAGTAAAGTGAGAATGAGATCCAGGGGGAGACTCTGAGCTCCCACTGACAAGCACAAGTCCCCCACTTTTTTTTTTTTCTTTGGTTAACCCAGAAGGTTCAATAAACAAACTATGACCAACTGGGGGGTTGGCTGCCCCTTAGGGAAGAGGATACAGGAAGGTTTTCAGAAAAGAAATGCCTGTATCTTTGTAGGGACACTTGGACAATCTTGCCATTGCTCCTCTTGGGATAAATGACATGGGAAGTTCAGAGCCTCTTTGACCTGCTCATTCTACACAGGCCACCCATATTCCGTAAGTCAGGGTTTTATTCCCCATCTCACAACAGGCCCAGCAACACTGTCTAACCAATGTCAGGAGATAGAGCTAACTCCCTCCCATGATCAGATAAATCTCTTGATCCCAAAGAATGCTAGGCAAGAGGGTGGAAGTGGGATCAGAACGAGAAGTCCAGCTGTCAGGGCTGGCTCTAAGGAAGTGGACTTGGCCCAGTACCTCTCTCCGGATCACTGGAAAAGAGCCTCACCAAAGTGACCCAGGCCTTTAACCAGCTCAGTGGCCCCATTCAAGGGAACAATGGCCCAGTTGCTGTCTTGTATCTGTTCATCAGCTCAGTGTGACAGAGAGCCCTTCCCAAGTCCCTATGCCCTCTCCCAACTCCTACAGAGACTACAGGAGCCTCGACTTGCCCTGGAAGCCAACAACGTCAGCAACGGAAGTTTCTGATGTTGATTAATTTGACCTGGGAGCCCCTGGGCGGAGCAAACAATTAACTTGCTCAGCGGTTAACCAAAGGATTGCTGGTTGAGTCCACCCCAGAGGCCTCAGAAGAAAGGCCTAGCTACCTACCTCTGAACGTTTGCAGCCATTGAAAGCTCTATGCAGCAAAGTTCTACTTGGACACACACATTGGGCTGCCATGAGTCAGAATCCACCTGATGACAACTGGTACTGGTAATTTGACCCAGGCTTGTGTGGCTGCGGCTTTGGGGGTAGGGCCTCCTGGACCCAGAGCTTCCTGGGTGGCATTACCTGGATCCCCAAGAAGATGCAGAGGTACCAAGGTGGGATGTCCAGGATGCCGTAGGCCAGGTGGCTCTTCTTTGGTCTCCCAGCCTGCCCATTCTTCTTGCTGCCTGGGTCATCTGAGTGGGAGCCAAGTACATCACCACTGCTCTGCTGGGAGCAAGGAAAGGTCATGTTCAGGCATTTCCAGAGGAATCGGGTGCACTTGCTGATTCCAGCAGGATGGCCAGCCTTCCAGAGGCAAGAAGACAGTCAATGGGGGGCGAGGTCCCTGGGGGTGAAACAGTTAGTGCTCAACTACCCTAAAGTTGGCTGTTCAAACTCGCCCAGCAGTACCACAAAAGATAGGCCTGGCAATCTGTTTCCATAAAGATCACAGCTGAGGAAACCCTACTGAGCAGTTGTACTCTTCAACATCAAGTCAGAATTGACTTGATGGCAACGATTTATTGGACTACTGGGGACTTCCAGGTCCAGACTCAAAAGACAGTGGTTTTCTGTATCATGCATCTGCACAGGACCTCCACGTGAAGTCTGGGGCCATGCAAGTGGAGGGGAGCCTTACCTGAAGCCTAGCAGAGAAACATCTCTGTAGGGGAGGGGAAGGGTCAGTCCCAGGGTCAGAAAAAAGGGCAGGTTTCCCTCTCAGACAGCAGGCAAGGGCCTCAACGTTCAGATATGTGCCGAAGCCCTCATCACAGGATGTTTATTAGAATGCACTCTCTCCTGCCCTTCTCCTCTGCTGGGCAGTTGGTCCCTAGAACGCATGGCTATGCTCTGGCCTCTTCTGTGTCCTCCCAAGCCCTGGTGCCTCCCTGGCACATCAGAGGTGCTTACTCAATGGAGACCCAATGGATGGATGGGTGGGTGTATGGGTGTATGGATGGATGGATGGATGAATGGATGGATGGATGGGTGGGTGGATGGATGGGTGAACGGATGGATGGGTGTGTGGACGGATGGATGGATGGATGGGTGGATGGATGGATGGGTGTGTGGATGGATGAATGGATGGGTGGATGGATGGGTGGATGTGTGGATGGGTGGATGGGTGGGTGGATGAAACACACAAATGCAAACAAGTGCAGTGCATACAGAATGCTTTAGGGGCACCTAGCTCTCCAGCCCACAGTACTTGGGGCATGCTCTTAGGGCTGACAATCAGAAGTCCCTGGTTTGTTGAAAAGGTTTAAGCCTTCGATTACTAACTGAACGGCTGACAGTTCAAACCCACCCAGAGGCACCTCAGAAGAAAGCCTATCTCCTGAGGAGTCCCAGTCTTGAAAGCCCTATGGAGCACAGTTGTACTCTGCACACGTCGGCGGGCCAGGAATCCCAGGCAACTTGACAGCATCTGATATGGTTCTGGTTCCTGGCTTAGGGCTGATGTTTGGGCATCTGGTTGGGAGTGATCACAGCCTGACGGATGGTCTCTGGGGTGGCCAAGGGAACAGTCCCAGCAGGGAGACCAAGCTGTTCTCAGTGACATACCCCGCTGGTTTCCTGGGCTCTGGCCAGACCGCAGACTGTGAACAGTGGAGCAGGTTTCTCATAGACGCAGTTCTGGAAGGAATGTGAAGTCACCCAACACCCAGCTGTGAGCCTCAGCCCTGTTTACTCAAGGAGGGACTTCTGGTGCAGGGCCACATCGTAGGCACTAGGCACTTTGCCTTCCATGGGCCCCTTCTTCCATTAAAAAAAAAAAAAAAAA